TAATTATAATTTAAATCATTTATTTCCAAACAGGACCTATTTTTTCTCTTCCGTATTTCCGTACATCTGCTTGAATATTTATAAGTAAAGCCACAATATCCAGTTTATATAATTATACTTATTGAATATTCATATACTTCCCAGTTTATAGCTTATTTTAAATACGATTTTATAATCCTGTTCAGTTTATAATCAACATAAACTGAAACAGGTCCTGTATGTAGGTGAAACAGAGTCTTTACCCCTCTACTTCGACGGTAAACCGCGTGAGAATTTACTTAATTTTTTTGTATTTAATCTAATTTTTTCGTCAATTTTACACTTCTAAACCCAATTTAACAGTTAGATAATTAAATTTTGCTATTTCTCTTACCTGGTTCTTAAGTTAAACCATTACAACACCTGCCCAAAAATTTTGAAATTGGCAAACAAGTCGAACGAGTTAACTTTCGTTTTCAATACCTTTCACATAATAGTTGCTTCATAAGAAAGAAACATTGGACATTGCAGTCACACAACTTTATCAACCGGTTTATGAGGGAGGGAAGCGAAAAGGGAAGAGACGAAACAGGAAAGAAATGCCTTCATATACACATTCTGCTAGGTCACTTCTATATCGAAATATGTATCTAATTTAATATAAGCGATAATGTTATAAAGCGTGTTATATAGAAGTATTCATAAACAGACTAAAGTCCACTTTTCATATTTGGAAAAACAAGTTTATAAATGAAAGAATATTGATTTAAAACACAGAGTTTATTTAACAATTATACTACTTATAATTGTGTTTTAAAATAAATTAATATACTTTGAAACTTGTAGAATAATATAAAAACTATTTACTGAATTTTCTTTATATAATTTAATAATATTTTTCTACAAAATTTAAATGAAAACATCTGCTTAAATTTTCCCACAAAATTAAAAAAGTTACAAAAGAAAATTTTCCACACACAAAAATAAAAATGAAAATAAAAATTCGTAAACAAAATTAATTAAATTCTCTTTCTAAACACGGAGTAGACATAAATAAAAATTTTTCTCATAAACACGAAGTATCATAAATAATTTCAACGTGAACACACGAAGAACATTTCCTTATAAAGTATTAGAAATCGCATTCAGATAACGATATAATATTATTTAATTCATTAAAATTTCTTATAAATAATACTAAAAAAAACATCTCCACGCTAATTTAAATTAATTCTTAAAAATAGGGATGATACGAGGCGAATAAATAACGACCCACGCAACCTGTAAATTTTCATTTAAAAAAAACTACAATGAAAAACGAAATTATTCAAGGTAAAAAAAACTTTAAAACGAACGTAATGATACACTAAACGGAAATAAAGAAAACATACCTTGTTTTAAATCCACCCTTACTCATTTTTTATATATATATAGAGAGAAGCAGTTCACGTTAGACGACCTTCAATACAACCCTGAGGGCCAAATAAGAATGTGGAGTCAAGCTCTGGAACGTTCACAAAGAACACTATGCTAACAAAGAAACGTGGTTTTTCAACATATCGCCCACGTTACCTATTATAGTAATTTTCTCAGCAACAAGTGGACTAGAAACCTGACTCGAAACGTGACACTAGAAAAAAAAAAAACTGCAAACACACCAACCAGCAAGCTGCGAGAGTCCTACTAACACATACACATATACACTACTAACACACCCTTTCGTACAAACTATCTAAAGGTGTTGTTATTTAGTTAAAGGGGGCTATCACTTCTCGAGATATATCAGAATTAATGAGTGATTTTAACGTGTAGTTTCTTAGTGACAAGTCATTTGTCATAATCAAAATGTGAAGTAAATTGTGAGAACTTGTCAAATTCTTTTTTAAAAAATATAATAAAAAATAAATTAAAGTTTTGTAACTAGTTGATTCACGCTGTTTATCCTCCTCATCTCTTTAAAATCTCGAGATTAATGGAGCTTGTCTTCTATCGTTTAGAATAGAAAGAATTTTTCTCTTTTAATTATTAAATAATAAAAAATTTATTTAAAATTAAAATATTTAATAAAATTGAATATAATAATTTATAATTTCGTGTAAGAAAAAAACATTTTATGAGTTTAAACGAACAAAACTCGAGAATGAAAACATGCAATGTAGAACAATAAAGGTGAATGAACGCAAATTATCGTTAAAACTCTTTAATTTCGATTGTTTTTGTTACAATTTTTTAATTTTATACTTTATTAGAAAGGCGTAAACATAAAAATTAAATAAGAAACAATATAATTTATCGAATATTATAAGAATTTTCTTTGAAAGTGAAGCATGAAGAAGGCAAATTCTTTACATTCCATTTGAAGAAAGGAAGCACGAAAAGACCTTTATAAGGCTTGAATAGGTGAATCAGTCTCCACATTAATCTTCTTTTTTATTATTATTCTAGATACTTTACATTTTCTAGATACTTTATGTAAAATATTTTTTTAAAAAATTACCATTTTCTTAATTTTTTTAGATAGTTATTTATGCATATTTTCTAGTGTTCTGTATAAAAATCAATCTTAACTTAATGAAGAATTTAGTTAAAATATTATGACTTTTTATAATTATAAAGTAATTAAAATAACTTTTTAAATTATTTAATTAAAAATTTTGAGTTTTTTTTTGTTTTTTTGTACTGTACTTAGCAATTTGTTACGTCTTTTAACTTGCAGATGGTTATCCTTAACTAGGATAGAAGTATTTAAGGAAAATTCGAAGTTTTTCACTCTTACACAGCTTAAAATTTAAAAAAAAGGTAATTAAAATTTATCTTTTAATCCGTTATTGATCCTAATTACAGATAATGCAATGTGTCTGTCAGTTACGCTCTACATCTCACTAACTTCGCCTTGACATTAAATACTTATTTGATATATTGTATACGTGTGCTAGAGCAATGTCTAAAGTATTTTTGGAAGGTTTTCGGTCCTTGCGACGCGATGCGCCGCATTTACCACTTAAATAGTGAATGCCTACGCGACGTCGAGTACGGTATATATGTATGGTTAAACCAGGCGCGATGCCTCCTCCTCCTCCTCCTCAAACCGACGTATTTAATAGACAAATATATAAATCTTTTAAAGAGTAAAAATAATAAAAATTTAATATATTTTTAAAGTAAAATAGACAAATAAATATTTGATATTAATGATAATAATAATAATAATAATTTGTAAGCTTATAATTTAAATGGAAGGAAGGAAAACTAGTTTCTTTTTATAAATATATAAAAATAATACATCATACGTTTTAAAAATTTAAATAAAATGATGTCAGCATTATGAAAAGAATAGGATTTCTAGTTCCACTTATAAACAACTGTGTATATCAGGGTGTTCCGTCTGACTGACTACAGACTACAGGTGGGTTGTAAAGTACCTGTACAATTTTGGAGAGTAGGCAGGTGTGTCTGATGGTCACCTGTCTGTCCGAATCGTCTCTATTCTGTTAAATACAGTATTAAAAATAATAAAAAAAAAACAAAAAATTACTCTCGCTTCATCGGTTTTGCAACAAATTAACGACATTTACACCTCAACAAATACAAAGGTTATATTATTTAACATAAATATTATAAATTCCATTTAAAATAACAAGAAAAAAAGTCATATTTTAATGTGGAACTTTGCCAAATTTAAGTATAAATATTTGTCTTTTTAGCAAGTTAAAGATGAAGTTGAGTTAATTATGTATTTTTATAAACAATAATTTTATTGTAGTCTCTATAATTTGTGTTTTTGATATACGAGGAAGAAATGTCGGGTTAGATGTAATTTGAATGAATTTAAATGTTTAAACTTAAATGATTAGTAAGAAGGATTGTATTTATTGTAATTTGATGAATAATTCTTAAAGAATTTTATGTTAATTTTTTCAAAAAATGCTTTGTTATATGTTTAAATTATATCTGTAATAATGTTTTTGTGTGATTTTAACGTATTAAAAATTAAATTAAAGTCTTAAACCGGTTACTTATATTTTAAAAAATTGTTTTAAATTTATTTTTAATCAGTTTAAATTCATAAAATACACTAAAATTTGAAGTTATTAACAATAGATCCAATTATTTCGTCTATTATCACAGCTTAAAATAAATTAAATTAAGTCATCACGTAGCTTGAAATTGGCACAAAAGATTTAAAATTACTAAATTTTTTTATAGTTAAATTACATAATTATTTATTAATTTAAATTATTTGCCTTTAATTTCACGTTTTAAAGACTAATTAATTTTAAATCTTATATTTAACTTTCAAGCTAAATTTATTACTTAATACGAATTTAATTTATTTAAATAAATACTTTTAAAGATAAAAACTATAATTATAATAGAATTTTCTGGTTTATTTTTTTTTTAAAAAGTAAACGTCTAACGAAACATAAAACAAAGAACACGACCTTTACTTTGTTTATAGAAAGCTAAAGTTTATTTTTTTTTATAAATAACTAATTTAAAAAAATAATAATAATAATAGCATTTAATGTTTCTACGCTTGAAGAAAGATAACTTTTTTTATTATAAAATAAAATTTTTATTAACTTTTTAATTAATTCCGCTCCTTCAAACTGGACTGAACTGGAAACACGTCACAGTAAGAAACCCTAAATCAAAAGTCATAAATATGTCATAATAGTTAGGGCAGCTATTAATAATACATCATAGTGTGTTAAGTGTATATATCGGGGTCATAAATCCAATTTAAAACTAGAGAAATAATAATAAATAAATAAAAAAATAACTTATTTATCACAGCACAGCTTCAATTGATAACTACTCAAAATAATTAATTTTCTCTAATATTAAGGACTTAAATCTCATTTAATTAAAATAAAAACATATATAAGAACTTATCTATAACTANTATTAAATAAAAATTTTTTGCATATTTTTAACATCTATCTTTACACAACATTTAATTATAACAGTTGTGAAATTTAATACATTACTGCTAATTTCAGATTGTATTCTTTGTTCAGACAATTATTTTATATTTTAAGAGAGGAAATTCAGCTTCCACGACACTTCATGACCATCTCTAGCAGAAGCAATGAGCTTAGTAAACTATGGAAGTAGAGAACACTACAAACGAGTTTTCGCTGCTGTTAACAGAAAACGAAACGGGAAAAAACGAAAAATAACCTGAATTTCACTTTATCGAACTAACGGAATTATACGTCATATTATTATTAAATAAAGGAAAATAATAATTACAAAATCATTACGTAAAAATAATACTTACTTTATCTTTTCTTATTATGTAATAACATACGTAATTTTATTCTTCTTATTATTAATTTAAGTAATTTATTTTTAAAAAAATTACATAATTCGTCATAAAATATTATTAATTTTTAAGTTAAAATTTAATCTTTAAGTAGTATATTTTTTAAAAAATAATTTAATAAAGGTAAATTTTTTAAAGCAATTTAGTTTAATTTTAGTAAGAAAATTTAGTATTAGATTTTTTTAACGTAATTTAACATTTAAAAATGTTATTTTTAAAAAAAATAGGAAAAGAAATTTGTCGAAAGGGAATTTAAACTTATCACCAAAATTAGAACATCCCTACTTTTTGGCTCTCAAAATAGAAAAATATGTTTCTCCACTAATACGAACGAAAATAGATTATTAAAGCAAATTATATATTGAATTTCCATTTATATAAAATGTCTTAAATGGTCTGAACTCGAAAATAAAATATTGTAGACCTATAAATTTCCACTAACGTCTGTTCGTCTGTCCGTCCGTCATTCCTTAATCTCAAAAAAATAAGTGAGATAGATAAAATTCGAGAGAAATATGTAAAGATTAGAGGGAGTAGGCCCTTATTAACTATATAAAAACTACTTTAATAACGATATTTCAATTTAAACTTTTCCTCTGAAAACAATTAATAGATGACCTGCATGATTTTATTGTTAAAGGAAAGGTGTGATGTACAGGGGCAAGCCATTACATATTTCAGATGGAGAAAACGAGGATATTGTGAGGATATGACAATAAATAATTGCTCGTTAATTAATATAAAATTTTTATTTTTATTTAAATGAAAGTTAATTTTCAAACTGTACGATTTATTCTGTAAAGAAATGTTATGTTTAAAAATACCATTCCGCACCGTGGGAGAAAAATACCTTCCCATTTGTCAAGTGCAACCAAGTGTTCTAATGTCTTTACTCAACCGAAACCGTATCCTGACTAAATTTTCAAAATTTCAAAAGATTAAGTCGATTTGCACGAGTTTATGCCATGTAATTTCCTGCAAAATAAATAAATAAATAATAATAATAATATAAAATGTTTACTGTTTTTATAAAATATTCTAGATTTATTATTGATTAACTCTACTTGTGTCTAAAAATAGGTAAATAATACGAAATTAATTATGTATTAAGATGAGAAAATTCGAGATTATTAACTTTTTTCCACCCTTATTTTGGGTTCAACGTGGTCAACAATGGGGCATTTGGGTAATGTGAAAGGGATCTGAAATTTGAGGATACAATAGAATAGATAATTATTATATAATGATAAGGCAACACAACACACAGGCGATCTATCAAGAGGGTGGACTTTCTATTTAGTATTAAAAACGTGAATAAAATCCATATGGCAAATAGTTGATTGGTGGGAACCCACGACTCAATGGTTTTATCACTAGGCCATTAGTGAGGCTGGATATAGTGTATATAAAAAATATTCTGGCTGTAAAAGGTACGCTTACGCCTTAAACGCCTTGACTATCCTCTATCTTTACATAATAAAATAAATTTTGGATTTTATTCGAAGATTTTAAAAGAGTTCCTTTGTTAAAATATTCTGTTATAAATCCTATATAAAAAGTAAAAGTACCAATAATTTTATAAGCTTACAAAATTCTTAAAATAAATTTATACTTTTTTATTATTTAAAATATTTTTCTATAGATACAAAAAAGCTACATAATAGAATGTGGTAATGTTAACTCAATAACGCAGTTTGTAACAGTTGAATAAACTCCTCTCAACAATAATAATGACGTGAATTGTAAGAGACGAACACATCGAGTGAATAGAAGTTTATGAATTTATTTTTACAATATGTTGTTGGAAAATGGTGTCAATGATCTTTTATATCCATATGTTTTACGATTGGTTATCATACATTTTCATATAACACATACAATTGTAAAAATCTACAACAAAATTTAATACTTAAAATTTATGCAAAAAACACATTATAAAAAGAATTTCCAGGAAGAGATCCTCCGTGGCAACGTAGTAAAGCAATATATTAAATTTTAGCTAAAGAAACTTGAAGTTTTAATTGAACTATAACTTAAAACAAGGATGCCAACACGCATTGTTACTGTATATGAGCAAATTCTATATAAAGTACTATTGCAAACGGCCTTATAAACATTCATATTCAAGAGGCCGTTAATACATAGACGTAAGCACCCACAACTTCTAATTTATTGATCAATTACGATCTGCA